CCCCTACCCGCCGCCCCACCCGCACGACTACACGCCCGGCGGCATGCCCCCGCTCCACCCCGCACATCCCCACGCCCAACTCGATCCCAACGCGCCGCCGCCGCTCCCGCCGCCGCCGGCCGAGTCGTCCTCCGCAGGCAGCCCGACCGCGAACGGCAGCAAGGCGTCCCGCCAGCTCAGCAACAGCAAGCGCGCAGAGCAGAACCGCAAGGCGCAACGCGCCTTTCGCGAGCGTCGTGACGCGTGCGTACCCATCCCTTTCGCTCTGCTCTCCTGTTTCCCATTCCGCAGCAGTCTGGCCGTTGTGGCATTGTTCTCTTTATGCTGTCATACCTCGGCCATGGGCACCGCTTCTATCGCACGGCTATCTACGGCTATCTGGTCTTTTGCACAACGCCCCCTATCTATACGAATGCCACTGCTGACTTCTCTCTACCTTTCCTTTTTCGGTACCTGTGGCACCTTTCGCTGACAAATTTCGCCCGTTCTTCCCACACATTATAGAAAGGTTCGCGAGCTCGAACAGCGCAGCGCGTTGCTCGATAGCGCCCTCGCGAGTGCCGACGAGGCGAATCGTCGGTGGGAGGAGTGCCGTGCACTCGTCGACCAGCTCAGGGTCGAGAATGCTGCACTCAGGGCGGCACTTACGCAGGCGCAGATGGCGAATGCAGGTGTGGTGGTTGATGGGAAGGAGGGCGAGGACGGGGTCGCTGTTGGTGGCGATGGAGAGTAGATGATTCGGTGTGCATATGTGATACGTGTAGGATTGGGATCCGGTGCGATTCGTGTTGATAGCCTTTGATGCATGTCTTGTTGGGATGCTTTTGCAAAGTTGAATGGCGATTCTTGTGGTACAGTGCTTTGCATGTATTCTTGCACGTCGCGCCCCGCGAAAACCCGCGGAGCGTGACAAAGTCAGGAACTCGTGGATTCCGCAGGCGATCCGAACAGCGATGTGCCGACGATGTGCACGCGTGTGCATGCAGCACCTGAGTGTCGTCCCTTAAAAGGCTAACAAGCCGACGGGTGGAATTTCCTCTGCGTTGGCTTCTTAGCAGTGGGCTCTCCACCAGCTCTTTCCTGCTCGTCCTGCACTTCGGGCCAGGGGGGTGTCGTCATTCTGCGGCTGATGGACGGGGAGGCCAGGCGTGGGAGCGCTGGTTCTCCCTAATGCGACAACACGCCTCCGGGCCCGGCATCGGCCGATCCGGCGGCGGGCGTCGGCCTCCGCACTGTCTCCCGCCGCCACCCCGTGCGACGAGCGCGTCCCTTGCCCTCGTCCTACCGTATCTTCCCTTCCCGTTCCCCGTATGCAATGTAGCTGGTATGTACGAGATCATATGGTCAATGTACCTGCTATCGCATATACTGTGTGATCAGAGAATCCCACCTTCCTGCATGGTATGTAGTACCCATGCTACGCATCGGCAATGTGAGCTTGCCGGCGGGCTGACCTAAAGCTTGTTAGGTTTGCTGGAAGGTGAAGCACAATAAGGTTACTACTCTCTATCTACAGCGAGCGCGACTATACGTGCACAGGTACGAGGTTCGGGGGGTACTGAGTGCGTCTCGGCGATCTCCGAAAGGCCCTGTGACTCATTGTATAGTCAATAGTTCGATACGTACAATGTTCACGCCCATTTGATGAGTGCACGGTTATGACTCGTAGCTACCTTCGTCTGGTGCTCAAGTATGCTACTGATTCCATTGTGTGTTGTGCAGCTGTAAGTGAACTAAGTCTGTAAGCAGGTGGAATTGCCCTGTGACAACTTGACTCATTCATATTCCTATAAGTAGTACATGTAATGATGCATATGGTGTACTCTGAGGAGCCGTCCGCATGCCTCAATGAGGCGCACCAAGATTTGTAGTACTGGCACAGACGGAAGATCGACAATTATGAGCGGGGATCTAATGAGGTTCTCTAATTGCCTCTTGGTTGCCGTCTCGGCGACAGGCTCGTCCGACCCTCCCTCCACCTCCCAGTGAATCCCCACCACGTCCGTCCATCTGACTTCACTCGCACACTACGAGTAGTATCACTTCTACTGTATAAGCTGCCTCATGGGGCTCAAACCCAGAGTAAAAGTCCATATAATCAGGATAATTCATGAATGACTCAAATATGTTTAATTTCCGCTGGATCATCGTCTATGTCTAACAGCCCGCTCCCTCTTGTCCGAGACAAATAGGTACTGCGGACTCCATGCACCACGCTTCTCAACCACCCCATCAAGTATACGTACGAATTGAAGCACCACTATACGGTACACATACAGTGGTATCTGTGCGCACATAGTTGCGAGGCTCGCTGTGCAAGACATTGTACATTGCATCTGGCAAATTGCCGTAGGCGTTCTCGTCTCCTTCTGTTATACCTTATAGCAAGCTATAGAGCCTCTAGGCTAATCCGCCAACAAGCTCATCTTGCACGTAGCAGGAGTCGTCAAGTACCGTACGACTCCCCAGGGAGGCGTCATCCCCTTGTTAGAGCATAAACAAAGTGTAACCAGGAGTTATTGTACAATACAGTACAAACTAGCTACATTGCATACGGGGAACAGGAAGGGAAGATACGGTAGGACGAGCGCAAGGGATGCGCTCGTTGCGCAGGGTGGTGGCGGGAGACAGTGCGGAGGCCGACGCCCACCGCCGGATCGGCCGGTGCCGGGCCCGGTGGCGTGTTGCCGCATTAGGGAGAACCAGCGCTCCCGCGCCTGGCCTCCCCGTCCATCAGCCGCAGAGTGACGACACCCCCCTGGCCTGAAGTGCAGGACAAGGAGGAAAGAGCTGGTGGAGAGCCCACCACTAAGAAGCCAACACGGAGGAAATTCCACCCGTCGGCTTGTTAGCCTTTTAAGGGGCGACACTCAGGTGGCATGCAGTCATCGTCACCTTCGCAAAGGGTATCCTGAGCTATGAGTAGCATGTATAGATGTAGAGTGTTGCGAATAGGATACAATATTCAAGTGCCGACGAACTTCGTCCTGAGGAGGAGCACCCAGCATCAGCATAATCCCGACAGGGGATGACTGTGGCAGTCAGCCCTTATTGGAGCCGCCCTGTTGGCCGTCGATCGTGCTTGAGTGACTCAAAATGTGCGGGTACCCATTGTGCCTCCCAAGCTTTCCTTATCCCACTCGTACAGCTCGCCATGGCCGACAACAGATGTGGTGTGCCAATCCCATTCCTGTCTGCTGGTTTGGTCGAGCTCGCAAGACCGGAGCAAGGGTCAAGCCGAGTGGAAGCACCGGCAGTTCCCGTAGAGCTTGAGCGCGAGCTGATGCGCCAAGGGTGGTGCGCAGTTTTTGTCTCTTTACCTCCATCTCACCTCTGGCTGCCCTCGCACACCCTTCGTGCCGGCTTCTGTACTCCGAATCGTTTCCTGACACTCATCCTACTCAACAAACAATGAACACGGGTGGAGCACATGTGGAGGTTGATCGATTGCCAAATGCGGCCAAGGGTGGAACTTCGGCACTCGCAGATGCCTTATCGAGTGATGCTTCTTCCCTCAAGGCCAAAGGCGAAGCCCTCGACACACAGCTCGCTGACCCAAACCAACATGTCCCCTCTTGCCGACGCCAGGCGACTCAGCCTAGCGCGCAAGCAACGCAGACCGCCGCCAATAGCGTAGGCCAAGCTGGAGCGGTCGCGAGTATACAGACCTCCAGCAAACCGCCAGGGACGAACAACTCCCAGGCAACTACATCCGGCGCCCCGCAGGCCAATGCCATCAAGCAACCAGTCCAGGCTGGTGCAGCTCCCGCGGCAATGCCGAGTTAAGCAACGGCAACCACGCGCCCTCAAGCCGGTGTCACGCAGAGCACTCAAGTGCCCACACCCGCTCAGGCCGCCACTCCCGCAAACACCGCCGCCTGCCAGGTGCCCCCGGCCCCGGCGCCCAATGGCCTCTTTGTGGCCAACGACAAGCAACGCGAGCTCACCATGCTGCGGGCCCTTCGCAACCAATCTATTTGTGAGCAGTCCATGTCCCAGTCCGACTCCGGTGGCAACACCAAGTTGCCAGACATGGTTCCCGGCGACCACGGCTCTGAGGAGGAATTTTGTGAGCAATTCCCCCCTACGTCTGCCTACACGTCATAACCCGCACCGCTATACACGCCCTCTCTCACACGTCTACATATATACACGCCTACCCGCTCACGTCACACCCGCCCCGCTCTGTCCACGTCCCATTGATTTGCCGACTTATTGACACCTTCCCGTATAGCCATCCCGGCATCAGTACACGTCGCCGTCAAGACCAACAGCTATGTTCCGCTCACGTTTACGACACGCAATGGCAGCACATCGCTCATCAACAAGGAGCAGTGCGAGTGTGAAGACAAAGAAAGTGGCATCAAGCGCAAGCTGCCGCACTCCAAACTCTTCGACGCTGCAGAGCAACACCAGTCGTCAGAGTCTTGGAATGCTGGTGCCGGCCGTTTCCTCAAACCTGGTCAAGCAGTACCACCCCAAGCATGCCACAGCGTGGGAGAGCCACTTCTGCCATGTACGCCACCTCATCGCCACTGAGGTTGGCCGATGGGACGTTGCCCACAGGTACGACCACCTGGTTCGCGAGAAGTCCACAGACCGCCCTGAGTACGACCTCGGCTCACTCGACAAGGGCGTCCTTGGGCACACTCTTATGGAGTTCAATGACCGCAAGGCGAGCACAGTGGCCAAGATTGCAGCTCAGGCGGCCGTTCGCTTGGCTCTCACAGGCCTGCACATCCAGCAGGGCCCTTCTATGCCGAGGAAGAGACGGGCATCAACCAAGACGGTCGTCGCCTGGCGCTGGAAGGATGTGGAGCAAGAGGCCTTTGATAAGATGAAACACACATTTACGTCATCCCCTGTCCTCCTCATGCCAGACCCTACTAAGCCTTACTGGGTAGAATGTGATACGTCGGACTTTGCCATTGGCACCGTATTGTCACAGTGTGGCAAGGACAATGACTGGCATCCGGTGGCGTACCTCTCCCATGCCCTCACCGCCCCGGAACGCAACTATGACACCCACGACAAGGAATTGCTGGCCTTCATCCGTGCGCTTGAGGACTGGTGTCATTATCTTGAGGGCTCTCCTCTCCAAGTCAAAATCTTCACCAATCACAAGAATCTCGAGTACTTCACCACGGCGCAGAAGTTGAACAGACACCAGGCTTGACAGGCCCTGTACCTCTCTCGTTTCGATTTCATTCTCCGCCATCGCCCTGGCCAGTACAATCATGCCGACCCCATGTTCCGCCGTCCTGATCATCGCTTTGGTGTCTCAGAGGACTCCAACCGTGTCCTGTTCCTAGCAGCCGAGGTCTCTATTAACGCCACCCAGCTCATGTCCATGGATGACGTCAGGCAACAAATCCTGAATACAGACACGAAGGACCAGGAGGTCACGGAGGCATTGTGCATTATCGAAGAGAAGGGACCGGCTGCATTGAAGTGCAAGCTTGTTGGTTGGGAATAGAAGGACGGTCTCTTGACATACAATGGCTGCCTCTACATCTCCGAAGACCAGGATCTGTGACGCAACATTGTGTGTCTCTGTCATGATACACCGGCCGTGGGCCATCCTAGACACATGTGTATGATGGAACTCATACAGAGGGACTTCTGGTGGCCCGGTATGTCAGTTTTCATCCGCAAATACATTCGAGGCTGTGCCACTTGTCAGCGCATGAAGATCCGCAACCACCTGCCGAATATACCACTTCACCCAAATGAGATCCCTACTCGCCCCTTCCAGATCGTGACCACCGATTTCATCACGGATCTTCCACCTTGTCAAGACTTTCACTCGATCGCCATATACATGGACCGCGGGTACAAAATAGTCTATATTGCACCAATAACCAAGACCATGGACAGTCTGGGATCTGCATCCCTGTTTATGCGCTACGTCTTCCCTCATACTGTATTTTTTTGATCATAAGTTCACCTCTAACAGAGGGGGACAGGGGACACAAAATAGATTTGCTTATAAATAAGTTCATCACTACCATATATGGTAACTTTGATGGCATTTAAAAGGCTTTTTGCAACATTTTTGTAGCTTTATAAGCAATATTTAAGGGGGGACAG